AGAAACAAATGTTCTAGCAAGACAATAAATAATCTGATCCAATGATTTTTTTAACAACCGACAAAGAGAAAAAAAAAGTTAAACTCTTTGGTAAGAGTTTTCTAATATAAAACTAAAGAATCATAATAATAGTAATTCAACATATATTTTTTTTCAAGCTTGGTTCACAAGTAAATTATCAATTTTCACAATCAATCTGTACTGTTGAACGTTGCTTTAGCCAAATAAGGGTCTTACGCACAATAGCGTAGTTATATGGTTTTTTATGCTATTTCAAAATACCTTTTTAAAAATCCTAGCTCTACCCTGCTTGTGCAGCGTATGATCTCGACCTAGCAACAACCTCAAAAATTTCATTATTGATCAAAATTATTGATGAAAGAATTTAATTTTAAAGCAAAGTTTAAGGGTAAAAGTACTCCCAAAAAATCTTCATATATTTTATACTTTAATTAAATAAAATCACTTAAATTTAAAAAAATAAAATACATACTCACGATTTCAGCGACTAAAATGTGTTTCTCCGGACTCACTCGCGCTTATTTTTGTCTATTTTTTTCAACCATCGCTTTTTGGGTGTTAAAATTGACACCACATATCTAAATGTACCATCAGGCTATTTATGGACGGAATGTTTAAATTTTTGTCAATACATTGCATGTTATAGGTTTAAATTTAGAGTTTATTTTAGTTTATTAAATTACATAATAATAAAAATTACATTAATTTAATATAAACACTCAGGTGCGTTTTAATTTTTTCTCATTAATTTTTTTTCTAATCTCTCTCCCTCGAAACCCTACGATTTCATAGCTCCTCAAATATGATAATCCATTTTCTCTTCTTGACTTTTTCAATTCCATGTGTCCACAATCTCCTCACTTGGTACGTTGCGTATATTTTTATCAGGATTTTTTTTTAAAAAAATGATTTGTATTTTAATATTTTTCAATTATTGAAAATAATGCGTATCGATACAAGAATTTCCTCGTAACAATCTCTGGATGAGAGTGTTCATTGAGAATGTTATTAATTATTACCGTAATTAGTTTAATTCATATGAAAAAAATAAGAGTTTTTGGTTAAAATCATTCCTCAACTATGATTTAAATTTAACGTACATTCTTATATTATCTAAATAAGCAAAAAAAAATCCTTATACTATCTAAAAAATAACAAGAATCATCATTTAGCCTATTTTTATTAAGAAATTGATTGAATCAATAAAAAATATATATTTCTTTAATTTGGTCACGTCTTGGCCACCACAAAAAGATTGAAGTTACCTAAAAAGAATAGGGATATGAATAGGAAATAAATATTGAATTTAAATTTCGTGTATCATCAAGTAAATTGACTTGCACCAATATATAAGTTTTGAAATATTCATACGATACGTTCCAAAGGGTACAAAGATTATGTAAAAAAAAGTCATTTCAAATATATTACATCCAACTATTTAGAGATTTTCTTTCCTAGGTGTTTGGTCATGTGATATCATATCACGATATAGTATCGTGAGATGGAATCAGCATTTGGACATGCGATTACACGTTGATTCCATATCATGAGATATAATTTCATATTCTCCAAAAAGCATAATATGGAATGACGTGGTATTCCATCATGATTTGAGATATTTTAATAAAAAAATTGATCAAAAAGTTTATATTTTGTTAAAATAACCCCACAATTATATCTACTAACCATTTGTTTCATATGTAAATAAAATTTATAATCACATCATTACTTTTTAAAAGTGCTTATTCTCACCGATGTAAAATTTATTATTCTCACCAACATATAGTCACTTTAACTCACACCAATCGATTGTTAAAGTGATAAAATATATATGGTCTATAAACGTGAAAATATAGTTGTGGATAATATTGACCAACAAATGACTCAAAGTAACAATATTGGTTCGTCTTCTCTCACATGATTGAGAAATGTAAGTTTAACTTGAGGAAATTGCTCATACTATGTAGGAGGATTATATTAAAAACTAGTACACTAGAATTTATGTTCAATTTTTCGTATTAAATTAAAGTTAGATGATACAATACTTAAGTGGAGAACAAATACATTTGTAATAATTTATTTATGCGATTTTATAATTTTTTATTTGATAAGATTAAATAAACAATTGGGGCTATTTTAATAATTTTACAACTTCAAGAATTTTTATGTTATATGAAAAAATATACAACACAAAATTTCATATGGCATGTCCAAACAAAACTTCGATTTCATCTTATGATTCCATATCATGATATCATGTGATGATACCATATCGCATGGCCAAACAGGCCCTTAGTAAATATTGAGGGGTATATACTATATATACAATGTTCACATTTTATACAATGTACATAAATGCTGGAAATGTAGTGAAATCACGTAGCTGTTTAGTTATTAAAATAAAAATAATTACCTTATGTGAATTTTTGAAGTTGGAGTAGTATTCGTATTTTTCCCAAGGACATTTATAATTTGAATATAATTTAAACCCTCAATTTTAAAAAATTACACAAAAATTACCTTACTCGATTAGTTTAACCATGTGTACACATATTCATTCGGCTTGACACATTTTTTGTTGGGACGTGAGTTTCTTAAAAAAAAATAAACAAAAGGATGAATCTTGCAACTTTTTCAATAGTTTAGGGATGACTTTTGTTCATTTATATTACACAAGTATTTTAAATTTTGGTGATACTTTAAGAATGATATTAGCCAAAAATCGAAAAATAAACATTATTATTTTTCTCAAAAAAATTAGATATTTAAGACAATAAAAAACTATCAGTTAAAATTTATAATATTTGAAGTCGAAGTCTTGCAGAAAAGATGAAAACTATGAAAGATGTAAAAAGAATTATGAGATTTGCTTTTTTCGTCTTTTTTTTTTTCAACCATTGATTTTGGTTGACAATTTAGACAGCACATCATAAAGGAAGTGTATGTATCCCTGGCAGACGAAAACTACTACTCTTCCGTCTCATAAATGTGATGTTTTTTTTAATGTTATTTAATTAAACATGTTTTTTCAAGAAAAAAAAAGAAAAATGAAACTTTTGTTATTTATTTTTTTGGATAAACTAAAAAAAAAGGTCCCACAAGAAATAAGAAAGGATAGATCATTGCTACCTAGTCCCTATTTTCACCACTATTTCATATACAACTAGAGGGTTTTTGGGTTGTTGGATAAGGTTCGTATTTTTCATATATTAACGCATAATTTATAAGATGTTTGTTAAACCGCTCATGTATAAGATTAATATAATATTTGGTTAAAAATTTCATAACTAATAATATTTATAAGTTATAAGAGGATATATATATTATTTTAAGCTAGATAAAAAATGAAATATCTAATATATGCATAACTAAAACTTTCATAAAACAATATGTACATTCACTCATAACTAATTTCTATATTATTAAAATCTACATAACTCTAATCAAATATTAAGCGAATCCATATTTTGCACTTTTAAAATATAATAATAATGTATCTTAACCTAAATAATGATCTATTCATGCGGCCATTGACCACCACATTTTCCTTGTGTTCAAGAACATTATTGATGAATGGGTCCGCCTTTTGTTTTTTCCCCCTTTTGGCTGAATTTCGAAAAATTGACAGAACACTGATTCCAGGCTAATTGTGCCGGAACGTACATGTTTCATCACTATCCTACGATAAATATTGACCAGGCATTATAAGCATGGTATACATAGAACAACAATTAAGTAATGTCGATGAAAATTTATTATCATTTATATATATATATATATTTATTACTCGATATAAGTTATTTTTGTTATAGTGAGATACCGCATGGGAGAAAAATAAAACTCAAAAAAAGTTTCATTCAAAGTAGTGGTGTCCAATACCAATTATGTATTGCTAATGAATGTAACACGTTGATGAATAGTATCCAATATATTGGAAAGTCATAGTTTGAGTTCCAACATCTAAAAGATATATTAGTTTAAAACATTATAAAAGGTGTGAATCAACAACACAGGAATGGTGAGGGTGTGTGTCTCTCAACTGCTGCCAAAATTAAATTAGCTGAACCAAATCCCAATACTACCCGACGTTCAGGGAATTAAAAACCTACTACCTGCAATTTTCAATATTTTCACTCCATCGATAATAATTACGTGGTATATATATATATAATGGTTGAGATTTAAAATCTGTTTGGATCTAGTTGTTTTAGGCATTTTTATTTAAATAACATTTAAATATTTTTATAATATCAATTAAATATTTTTAAAGTTAAAATAAATTAACTAGATTGCAAATTGTCCTATTTTTTCCATATTGAAATAATGGTTGCGCAAGGAAGCGTTGAAATATTTATGAGTTCACCTGTATTCAGTGTTGAAATCGTTGTAGAAAGCAAGTAGGACTCTATAGCATTGTGACTTTTTTTACCAAAACTAGGTTCATTAATTTCTACTCTAACATCGAATTTGAGTCATGGAGTTACTTGAATCAATCAACAGTATTAAATGTGCTTCATCAATATTACTAATAAATACTATCACCTATAGAGGCATTATCAAACATGTATGTATATATGAGAAGCTTTCTAGTACAACAATTTTCTTCGTAAAATTTATTCGCATCGGGTATTTATACTAAGTCAATACATGCATATCATTTGTTTGAATTTATAATTTATTTTACTTCATTAAATCTAGTAATAATGAAAATCGCATCGAATTGGTATAAACATCCGATACGAGTAAGTGTAAACACATATACACATGCAAAAACAGTGGTGGAGCTATAATTTGGTCCAAGGGGTGTATAAATATAAAGAAATAAAATCGTGTAGAAGTCAAAGACTGTCAGTACACCCTTCACTGTGGCTCCGCCACCGTGCACAAATATTTTAGCACATGTGCTATTTTTATGCTACACATAGTATATGTGCTATTTTTATGCTATATTTATACTACACATACTAGGTAGGTACATAGTTGATTTATTTACCATTCTATCCCTAGGAAGTTTCTCTTGTATTACTGATATACAATACAAAAAATTTTCTTTATATTCTTTCATGTTTAACATCTTAAAAAGTAATTGAGCAGAACAAATAAAATGGTTTCAATATTGAGTAACATAGGGATGATGGTGGTCACCTTCAAGAGACCATCATTATTTACCTCACTCCGTCGTCGCTCTGCCAACAACATTATTATTACTAAGCACTCACATCCTATTTCCACCACAAGGCGTTCAGGGAATTACAAGCCTACCATGTGGGATTTTCAATTTATTCAATCCCTACACAATCCTTATGAGGTACATATACATACATTTTCTATACATTATATTCACGTCACACGTTTATTCATTTAATTTATAAATGTGTTGCGTAGGGAGACAAGTATATGAAGCGTTTAAACAAACTAAAAAAAGAAGTGAAGAAGATGATGATGACGGTGGAGGGATCACATGATGAAGAGTTAGAGAAGTTGGAGTTGATTGATAACTTAGAGAGGCTTGGAGTGAGTTACCACTTTAAAGATGAAATTATGCAAATTATGAGGAGCATTAATATTAATATTAATATAGCCCCACCAGATTCATTATATACCACAGCTTTGAAATTTAGACTCTTGAGACAACATGGTTTTCATATCTCACAAGGTACAATAGTACTACTTGGACTCTTATTTCTTGTTCATTCATGTTTTGCTCTACGTACGCAGTTTGTTTTTTTGAGCCGCCCTTCATTAAATCTAAGGAATTTTTTTTAAAAAAATTAGCAACAATATTGTAAGAAATAGAATCTAAATCAACTCTTATATTTTTTTGCTCTTTGTGTTCTAGATATATTGAACGATTTCAAGGATGAAAATGGAAATCTGAAGCAGAGTATTTGCAAAGACACTAAAGGTATGTTGGAATTTTATGAAGCATCATTTCTCTCTACAGAAACTGAAATAACTCTGAAAAATGCCACAATATTCACGGTGTCAATCTAATTATTTTTCAATACTTTTTTGAACATAGATTCTTCAAGTTTATTTTTTATTAGATTTTGACTTATGTATATTATTGTGTTTTTTAGATATATTAAACAGTTCCAAGGACGAGCATGATAATCTTAAGCAGAGTACTTGTAACAACACAAAAGGGTTGTTAAAATTATACGAAGCTTCATTTCTGTCTATAGAAAATGAAAGCTTTTTGAGAAATACCACAAAATCCACTTTGGCACATCTAATGAGATATGTTGATCAAAATCGTTGTGGAGAAGAGGATAATATGATAGTGGAATTAGTGGTACATGCCTTGGAACTCCCAAGACATTGGATGGTGCCAAGATTAGAGACAAGGTGGTATATTAGTATTTATGAGAGAATGTCAAATGCTAATCCCCTTTTGCTAGAACTTGCTAAATTGGACTTCAACATTGTTCAAGCAACACATCAACAAGATTTAAGAATTTTATCAAGGTACGAGAAAACATATCTTTTAAGTGAATACAAATTAATTTCATATTAGTTTTGATGTAAATTGTTTAATTAGGTGGTGGAAGAATACAGGGCTTGCGGAAAAGCTTCCATTTTCAAGGGATATTCTGGTTGAGAATATGTTTTGGGCAGTAGGGGCATTATTTGAGCCTCAACATAGCTACTTTCGAAGATTGATAACAAAAGTCATTGTTTTTATTTCAATCATAGATGACATTTATGATGTTTATGGCACACTTGATGAGTTGGAACTCTTCACTCTTGCTATTCAAAGGTAATTATAATTCTCTATCGCAAAATAATAACAAAATTTTATTTTCTAGTAACAATTAGTAAAAATTCAGATGGGATACAAAAGCAATGGAGCAACTTCCAGACTATATGAAAGTATGTTATCTTGCACTCATCAATATTATCAATGAAGTTGCGTATGAGGTTCTCAAAAATCATGACATCAACGTCCTACCCTACCTTACAAAATCAGTAAGATTCATTCTCCTTAATAAATGATTTTTTCCCCAAAATACCCCTCATTTTTTCCGAGACGAATTCAATATTTAATATGTCGTTAATTAGTGGGCAGATTTGTGCAAATCATACTTACAAGAAGCAAAATGGTACCACAATGGATACAAGCCAAATCTGGAAGAATACATGGATAATGCAAGGATCTCAATTGGAGTACCAATGGTATTAGTCCACTCATTGTTCCTAGTCACAAATCAAATTACCAAAGAGGCCTTGGATTCCTTAACCAATTATCCTGATATTATTCGATGGTCTGCTACTATTTTCCGTTTAAACGATGATTTGGGGACATCTTCGGTATGCTTTTACCCCTTTTATCTCACATATCTAGCAAAATCTCCTCTATTTAATTTAATTTATTTACTTTTGTATCAATTCAGGATGAACTGAAAAGAGGTGACGTTTCCAAATCAATACAATGTTACATGAACGAAAAGGGTGCTTCCGAAGAAGAGGCAATAGAACACATAGAATTTTTGATACAGGAGACATGGGAAGCAATGAACACAGCTCAAAGCAAAAATTCTCCACTTTCTGAAACATTTATTGAAGTTGCGAAGAATATTACAAAAGCATCGCATTTTATGTATCTGCATAGCGATGTTAAAAGTAGCATCTCCAAAATACTTTTTGAGCCTATCATTATTTCTAATGTTGCATTCGCTCTCAAGTAATTTTATTTTACGTAGGCTTCATTTTATTACTTTGATTTTATATATACGTATCTCCATAAAGTCGAATTTAGAATCTAAACTTTTAACGAGTTCCAATGTTTAATTATAAAAAACTGAATTTTCGACTATATAATGTTAATGTGTTCTTTCTTATTAATTGACTTTTAGATTATTATACATTTGGATCAACATGTAATATAAATCAAGAGTTATTCATACAATATATTTAAACAGTGAAAAACCGTATTTGGAAATCTGTAATTATGATTTTTAAGCAACATAAAGTAGAATGCTTACCAATATCAACTGCTTCCAATTAGACATAATAAAATTATCAATAAATAAAAATCGGACTAGTGCGGTAAATTAGAGAAAACTTTAATGTTCTTGAGTTTCAAGATTAAAATTCGAGTATGCCAAATTAAAAAGGTACTGTTCTCACAAGAGGCAGCTGTTAGTTACTAATATATTTTTTTTTTTGGGTAAGGGGTAGATGGTAAAATGTAAAATATTAGTCACGTGTATTATAAAAATTTACCCCGATTAGATTTATTATTACCCGTTTGCTTATATAAACACTTCTCACTGAATCATGGTTATTAGGGATATTACCCAAACACAGGTAATTCATTCAAAATTTTAAAAGTTGGTTTTAATATAATTTGGATTGGATTCAATCTTAACTCATTCGGGCCTAATCTATTTGAAGAGAATCTTCCATTCATCCCAATGCAATCTCCAATTTCAACCCGTTTTAAAACTTTTTACTGAGATTTGTTCTATGAATTATTATCTATTTAACAATATTTATGCTTTATCTATCAATTTGTTACTTTTTAATAGAAATTCTTGAGCGAAAATTCATATTGTGATTATAAAAGTAAAATATAAATATGTTAAATTATTGAGATTAATCGGGTCAAATTTGGCGATTCAAGACCCAACCCATTTTTAGCTCAATTGAGCCAAAGTAAACTAGGGTGGATCAAGACCTGACCTGATTTCTATTTTAACCCATTTTAATATGGGAAAATTACGCAACAAAGCAAATTTATACTATTTAATTACTCATCATAGCTATAGTTTGCTATAATTACCACTTGCGACTAACATTATACATTAATTACGTGGACTGATTTCGAGTTTGCATAATTAGTCACGTATGTATATGTATAATTGTAATATACAATTATTTAATCTATATACATATAAAATTCACCTCTCTCCCACTCTCTGCCCTCTCTCGCTCGCCTTTCTCCTCTCTTTCCCATCGCTCGCCTCTCTCCTCTCTTTTCCAATCTCGCACGCCTCTCTCCCCCCTTTCCCAATCTCGTTTTCCCTATATACAAATGTATATGTATAATATACAATTATATAGATAATACAATTCACCTCTCTCCCACTCTCTGCCCTCTTTCCTCCCTCTCCTAATCTCGCTCGCCTCTTTCCTCCCTCTCCCACTCTTACTTGCCATATATACGAATACATATGCATAATATACAGTTATCTAACCGATATACATATACAATTAACCTTTCTCCCACTCTTTTCCCCCTTTCTCTCTCCTCTCTCCTCTCTCTCCCGATCTCGCTCGCCTCTCTCCTCTATATAACATGCAACTACAAATTTTAATTATCAAACTATTGCTATGGAGAGTAATTAGGCTATTTTTAAGTGGCTATATGTGAAAGTTTCCCTTTTAATATCTCCATTTCAACCCAACCCGCCCATTTGACGCCCCTAATGGTTATGTTACTTTATCCAAAAAATTTTAGGAGTCAAATTTTGAAATTCTAAAAGAATTTCTTAAAATTTAAAGATTTTGGATAAATCACTCAACGTCCTGAAAATCGTGTTTTGATTTCGAATACATCATATTTGGTTTCGAATACAGCACTCAACATCTTAATATACAACGTTCCAATTTCGAATACAACACTCAACGCTCGATATATAGTGTATTGATACATTATCTTTGTTCATACAAGACACATATATACAGATACATCACATCCCGATACATTTGTACCTTCTGATATATTCCATAAGTCCCTAATTAGTTGTCCACTTTTCCTTTTATAGTTGTATCTAGTATACTTGTCTATTTTGACAAATCAAGAAATAACTATTTTTTTACCTATTATATCCCCAATTAATTATTTTGAAAAAGATAGAATTTTTTAAAAATCCTAAATATTTAATTCATTCACTTCATAATTAACAAAGGTAAAATGATAAACTCACTATGTCAATAATTGTTTCTTAATAGGTGTGTCAATTTAAAAATGGATAAGTAATTAGAGACAAAAAAAATATCATGTAATAGTGATGTATCTGAAAATAAAAGTGAACAAGAGTTTTCGTAATTTTTTCAATCAATAATTTTTCTTTAAAATATAATAAAATAACTTATATATTCAAGTAATTTTTTTCCTTTAATGTTTACAAAACGTACTTCACATTTCCCTTCATGGAGACCTTTCATCAAATTTTTCCCGATTGGCCTTTGAAAATTCCAAGTCTTATCAACTTCATCTTTATTAGCTCATGATAAAGTTAATTGTGTGTACTTTTATTTTTTTCTTTACGTGCTTCTTAATAAATCATAAATAAGAAGTTTATTTTATTTAAAATATTCTTATCAATTAATACAAATAATTAATAACGGTACTTTTAAAGAAAAATATGAATAATAATAATAATTCTTAAAAATAAAAAATAAAATAAAATAATTAATTAATTCTATTTTATATTTTTAGTTATTAATAAATAATTTATAAACAACTACTAATATGAAATGGGGGAGTAATAGCAAGTGCGGTGTTGGGAGTCCTCCAATAATTTACGGCTTTACTGTTTGTGAGACGACAATTTTTGTGCTTGATATATATAAAGTATATATATGATGATTGAAATTTAAAATGTGTTTGGATTGATTTGTTTAAAGCATTTTATATTTAAATAACTTTCAATATTTTTATAGTATTAATAAAATACTTTGAAATTTAAAATAAAATAACTAAATTGTAAATTGTCCTATTTTTTTCCATATTGAAATAATGGTTGTGTAGGGAAGCGTTGAAATATTTATGAGTTCACCTGTATTCAGTGTTGAAATAGCTGTAGAAAGCAAGTAGGACTCTATAGCATTGTGACTTTTTTTTTACCAAAACTAGGTTCATTAATTTCTACTCTAACATCGAATTTGAGTCATGGAGTTACTTGAATCAATCAACAGTATTAAATGTGCTTCATCAATATTACTAATAAATACTATCACCTATAGAGGCATTATCAAACATGTATGTATATATGAGAAGCTTCGATTCTAGTACAATAATTTTCTTGTAAATAGGTAAAACTTATCCGCATCGGATATTTACACTAAGTCAATAAATGCATGTCATATGTTTAAATGTATAGTTTATTTTACTTTATTAAATCTAGTAATGATGAAAATTATATTGAATTGATATAAACACGAGTAAGTGTAAATACATATACATACATGCACAAAAATTTTAGTACATGTGCTATTTTTATGCTACACATTTTAGTACATGTGCTATTTTTATGCTACACATTTTAGTACATGTGCTATTTTTTAGGATTCTACTCCCCTCCATTACAACTTAATTTCCTCCATTTTATCATATGCATGTGTTAAGTATCAAGATTTGGATTATATTTATACTACACATAGTATATGTATGTACTAGGTACGTAGGTAGATAGTTGATTTTTTTACCATTCAATCCCTAGAAAGTTTCTCTTGATATACAAAAAAAAAAAATTCTTTATATTCTTTCACGTTTAACATCATAAAAAATAATTGAGCAGAATAAATAAAATGATTTCAATATTGAGTAACATAGGGATGATGATGGTCACCTTCAAGAGACCATCATTATTTACCTCACTCCGTCGTCACTCTGCTAACAATATTATTATTACTAAGCACTCACATCCTATTTCCGCCACAAGGCGTTCAGGGAATTACAAGCCTACCATGTGGGATTTTCAATTCATTCAATCACTACACAATCCTTATGCGGTACACATACATATATTCTCTATACATTATATTCACGTCACATGTTTATTCATTTAATTTGTAAATGTGTTGCGTAGGGAGACAAGTATATGAAGCGTTTAAACGAAGTAAAGAAAGAAGCGAAGAAGATGATGATGACGGTTGAGGGATCACATGATGAAGAGTTAGAGAAGTTGGAGTTGATTGATAATTTAGAGAGGCTTGGAGTGAGTTACCACTTTAAAGATGAAATTATGCAAATATTGAGGAGCATTAATATTAATATTAATATAGCCCCACCAGATTCATTATATACCACAGCTTTGAAATTTAGACTCTTGAGACAACATGGTTTTCATATCTCACAAGGTATAATAATACTATTTTCACTGTTATTTCCTGTTCATTCATGTTTTGCTCGACGTACGCAGTCTGTTTTATTGAGCCGCCCTTTATTAAATCTAAGGAATTTTTTTTAAAAAAAATTAGCTACAATATTGTAAGAAACAGAATCTAAATCAACTCTTATATTTTTTTGCTTTTTGTGTTCTAGATATATTGAACGATTTACGGTGAAACTGAAAACACGCTGAAAAGTGCAACAAGATTTACGGTGTCACATCTAAAGAATTATGTTGACAATCATTCATGTGGAAATCAAGACGATGATATAACAGTGGAATTAGTGGTCCATGCTTTGGAACTTCCAAGACACTGGATGATGCCAAGATTAGAGACAGAGTTGTATATTAGAATTTATGGGAGAATGTCAAATGCTAATCCTCTTTTGTTAGAGCTTGCTAAGTTGGACTTCAACATTGTCCAAGCAACACACCAACAAGATTTTGAAAAATCTGTCAAGGTGAGGTATCGTTTGATTATATCTTTTAGATGATCTGATACTTCCAAGTATAAAAAGTTAAATTCCTTGTTATATATATATTGACTCTGTACAATGTCTTAAAAGTTAAAACATGTACAATACAATTTCTGATGATGTAATGTAAAGGTGGTGGAAGAGCATGAGTTTGGCAGAGAAGTTATCATTTTCAAGAGATAGACTGGTGGAAGACTTTTTCTGGTCAGTGGGATTAGCATTTGAGCCTCAACACAGCTTGTGTCGAAGAATGTTGGCGAAAAACGTTGCTTTTATAATCGTCATAGATGACATTTATGATGTCTATGGCAGTCTTGATGAGTTGGAAATCTTCACTCGTGCTGTTGAAAGGTTTAGTCATATAGTAACTTATATATAAAGTTAACTTAATCGTTTGTGATTTTTAATTTTGATTTCTTATTGTTATAAAAATTCAGATGGGATATAAAAGCAATGGAACAGCTTCCAGACTACATGAAACTATGTTACCTTTCACTCTTCAACACTACCAATGAAATGGCCTATCATATTCTCAAACAACAAGGGATTAATGTCCTGCCCTACCTCACAAAACAAGTAAAATTACAATCTTCCCTTCTTTTACTTTCAATCTTTGAGGCACAACCAATAAAATTAGATTTAGAATTTAATTATAATTCATGTAACATTGGTCTCTGCCCCAAACCATTCATATAATTTGATACAAGTTACTTTTAATTAGTGGACAGATTTATGCAAATCATACTTGCAAGAAGCAAAATGGTACCACAATGGGCATAAGCCAAGACTAGAAGAGTACATGGATAATGCATGGATTTCAATTGGAATTCCTTTGGTATTACTCCATGCATTCATCTTTCTCACCAATCCAATAACCAAAGAGGCATTGGAATCCTTGAACAAAAATCCAGACATCATTCATCGTTGTGCTATAATTAACCGTTCTGTCGATGATTTGGGGACATCATCCGTACGTTTTAATTTCATACCTTAATTCCTCTCATATTAAACTTCTGAGTACTCATCTATTTCATTTTCTTTTTCCGTTTATGTTCTTGTTAAATTAGTATGAACTGAAAAGAGGTGATGTTCCCAAATCGATACAGTGTTACATGAATGACACGGTTGTTTCGGAAGAAGAGGCAAGAAAACACATCAATTTATTGACAAAGGAGATGTGGGAAGTGATGAACAAAGACCAAATTAGTAAACAAGTGCTATTTTCGGAAGAATTCATTAAGATTGTGTTTAATTTTTCAAGAACATCACACTGCATGTACCAGCATGGAGATGGGCATGGAATTTAAAATTCTCACATAACAAATCGGATTTCCAAATTGCTCTTTGGGCCTCTCATTATGTAATTAATTTCCTAGTTTCTAACTATTCAATAATACCAAAAAACAAAAAAAAACTCAGCTTTTCATGATCTAATGGGCATTGTTTGTGACTTTTCATCAGATATAAAAAAAAGTATGACAGTGATACGTATTGGACTTTGTCGTGTATTTGTAACCATTTAATTTGGTAAGTGGCTGACCCCATTTTGTCTTATTCAAATTTGTCAATTTTTTCTTTTATTTTATATAGTAAATCCATATTAGAGCCTACTAAATTTAAATTCATGTCGAAAAATTCTAGAATAAAATTCTCTTAACAAATGCAATTTCATATCCAAGAAAACTTAAACACGATACATAGGTAAATTCGATCCAACTTACCTAAATAATCTCTTAATCAATTAGGTAAGTTGGTATCTTAGCCTTTTCTTTTTGATAATAGATTGGTTCTTTTTTCTTAAAATTTTTGTGAGTTGTACGTACGCATGTGCTCTTTTGCCTTTTCAACTTTTAAATTTCCCTTGAATTTAAGATTTATGGATCGGAGAACGTTACCTTCATCACATATGGACTGGGAACCATAATCATATCTTCTTAATGTCTTTAGTGATATTAGTTTTAATGATACTTAATTGATATTGATAATGATTTTAATATTTTTTTATTAATATTCATATTTATAATCGCTAAAAATTATTTTTGTTTTATTATTAAAGATATCAAAACGAGTTAAAAATGTCATAAAACCATGTAAAAATGTACAATAATGCCATCAATCAATAATTTGGTACGAAAATACCCTTACCATTAAAAATATTATTTAACTGTCCGATAATACCCTTGATTATGACTCTTTCTTTCCGTATAGATGAATATCTCTATAATTAAGGGATGGATGTCAATAGAATGAGGCAGGTGACAGGGTGGGGGTGCATGGTGGGTTGGAATTGAGGTTTGGATCAAACTAGGCTATTATATAAAGCAACTCACTAAAATAATATGTTTTTCTAAAATTTTAGAAAATTAGTATAAACGTATTTTATAATAATGTTTTAAAGTATATTTTATTTTTTAAAATATGACGACGTTAGATTAATATATGTTACTCATAATAACGTTTTACTCCTAAAACATCACTCACAGTAACGTTTTACTCCTAAAATATTACTCACAGTAACGTTTTACAAGTAAAATGTTACTCAAAATTATGTTTTAGAAGTAACTCATGTTTTCAAAATTAATGTGGGGCCGGCTGGATTTCACTCTGCAAATTCTGTACCTACTTTTAAGTTTTATATTTGCAACACATAAAATGGTTGGCAATCTCGATCGCTATGAATCTTGTTACTATCCGACGTTCCGCCAATTATAAACTTACTATCTGAGATTTTTAATATTTTCACTCCGTTAATAATAATTATGTGGTATATATTTATTTTATTTCTACATACATAACTACATAATATATCAAATATCTTGTATTCAAGGTCGTCTTAATTATTAGGTCACTAAATCGTAATTTTGGGGCCTATATTTTTTAAAAGACTTATACATGCATATTACTTAAAATTATATGTATAGTTAAATTATTATTTTTTTAAAAAAAAAGAAGTTTCGAAAAAAAAAACAAAATAGCCATTAGTTTTTCCTACTTTTATAAGGGAATGAAATATTTTATGAAAATAATTTCCTTGGGTGGGAAATTGTGTTTTCTTATTTATCTTTGAAAAAGTTGACTTTATATTATTATTTACCTTATACTAATCATTTTTTATTCTCTATTTTATTATTTTTATTTTTAGTATTGAACTCTCTCCTAAAAAAATGATTTATTGTTGCTTACAAGTTGAAAAAGAACAAAATTTGTTTTTGAGTGTCTTCTTCAAAATCTTATGAAGTGCAACAAGCAATTATTATATTGAAGGAACGCAAGACTATTTCAATATTATTATATCAATTTATCAAATTCGTGAGTCAATTTTATTATTCTAACTTAATTTTATAATCTTTCTTGAACTTTTGTTATTATTGTTGATATTCTTAGTTAGTAAATATATATATTCTCGTTTTAGTTATTATTAAGAGATAGAAAATAATGATTTAATGTAAATACTCAATCAAATAAAATATTTGATTCTTTTCTTATAGAATAATGTTAACAATTCCTTTAACTATTGCCTCGGTTGAAAGAAGTTTTTCGAAATTAAAATTGATAAAATCTTATCTAAGATCAGCAATATAAAATTGAATGTATTAGCTATATTATCAATTGAAAATGAATTACTAAAATAATTATTAGAAAACAATAACTAAAGATTTCACATCTAAAAAGACAAAAAAAAAAGATTTTAAATAAATATAAAGTACATGATTATAGATTTTAAATAAATATAATGTATATGTATCTGCATACCAACGTTAAAAATAACATCTCCAAATTACTTTTTGAGCATATTATTATTATTTACCGGCTTCCAAGTAATAATTATAATATCCCTAGAGAAGTAAATTTGTAGATGTGCTTCACGTTTTCCTTATTAGAAACTTTTCACCAAAACTTCATATGATTGGCCTTGAAAATACCAATGTGTTATCAAACTTTATCTTTAAAAATCTCAAATTATTTGTCTCAAATGGTGAGTCAAAAAACAAATAGAACAAATATATTAGTAATAATAATTTTGAGGATTATTATTTGTAACACTTGTGTTATAAAAAGGCTAATTAATGGTGTACTTATATTATAATTAACACGTGTTTATGGATCCTCCATTTGTTTCATTCAAATGGCAACTTGAATTATTATTCAATCAAATTAATGGTAGGTGAGGTGTTCTGATGAACAGTAATTTTACTTTTAATTATTCATTTTATCAAATAGCATACTTCACCGACGGGTTAGCCACTAGTAATGGCCCATTATAATCGTATTTGACAAGCAAAAAATATATTAAAATTCGATATGACAAGATGGTGGTTATATGGAGATATAGATATAAATGATATTCATAAAATCAGATTTGGGATAGTGGCGTATCTATAATTTTGAATAATATTTTATTTTATGTGACACTCTCTCCTTTATAGTCAGTCATTAAAAAAAATCATCATAGAATCAACTTTACCTTTAATGAAATGAATCTCGATCGCACAAATATCTAAGATTATTTTAGATCATAAATTTCATACAAAATTAATTTTTTTTTAAATATTGCGTCAAGTCAGAAAATATCACATAATATGAAAGTGTCACATAATATGAGACAGAGAAAGCATTAATTTTAAAAAGTAAAATGACTAACAAGAATGGAACTATAGTCTATATAAATCGGATAATGCAAATATATCAAAAGAATATAAAAATGACTCTTTGTGAACTGAAGTTGATCGGCTGTTCAATTATTTTTATAGTCAAGTGAAACATAAGTACTATTGATGTATATCATGGTGAAATCAGGATTTTTATTTAAGGCTTCAAAAAAAATGAAAAAGTAAATATATGAATAAGTTGAATAGGATTTAATATCTACACAAAAATTAGTGTTAACGGTATACGGTGTAATTTTTCATTTTTAAAAAATCGGATTAGTTCCTGGATTATTGTTTTGTGCTATCTTCCTTTAGATTACTGTTTTGTTTTGTGCTATTTTCTTTATAATAGTGGGTTAATCAAACTTTAATATATCATATATGCATACTAAACCATCATGACTAGATAAAATCTACAAAATCATATAAGTTATTGCATGAAAAGTATTGAATATTACTTTGCATTATACAATTAGTTAGCTTAATTAGTTATGAAAGTTAGTTATCACATGTTTTAAATGTGCATAGTTAGTTACAATTTTAAATCATCTAGATGCTTCTATGTAATCTATAAATACTCTACTAATGCATAAGATCAAGTCAAGCTTTGCATTCTACAAGATCATCTTCATTGATTCTAGCTCTAGTTATTGTTGCTTGTGACTGCCATTGTTATGAAGTTCCATTGTTATGAAGCTCAAGCTTCTTAATATGGTATCAGAGCTTTGCTCGATCTGAGACATTTTTTGTATACGATTACATTTTGTAATCCTCTTGTCCTTCTTCTTCGTTTCTGGTTCTTTGATTGTGGCTCGATCTGCAATTGTCTCTTACAGATTCTTCTTCTCTGTTTTCTGAATTTTCTTTTGGATCTATTCATCCATGGGGGATACCACTACAAGTTCTGGCCAATCTGGAGGTCCTACTAGTAGTACAATTGATTCTAATCATCCCTACTATATACATCCATCTGATAACCCTGGAGCAATGCTGGTACCAGTTCAATTTACTGGAGTAGGTTTTTGCTCATGGAGATGTAGTGTTATGAGAACACTTTCAGTGAAGAACAAGTTGGGATTTGTCAATGGAGATTGCTCACGTCCTCGATCAAGTGATCCATCATACAGACAATGGGAGAGATGCGACAACATTGTCACTTCTTGGATTCTAAATTCACTGTCTAAGGAAATTGCTGATAGTGTTGAGTATGTTCAGGATTCTGCAGAATTGTGGAAGGAATTGGAGGATAGGTATGAGCAAACAAATGGTGCGAAGTTATACCAGATCCAACGAGAAATTAATGACTTGTCGCAGGGATCTCTTGACATTACAGGTTACTACACCAAGCTGAAAAAGTTATGGGAGGAGATAAGTACCTTAAATGCCAAAGCTCAGTGCACTTGCAACTGCACTTGTGGAGCAAAGGCAATTACTCACAAAGCAGAACAAGATAGGAGGTTAATCCAATTTCTCATGGGATTGAATGAGATGTACACAGTCATTCGTGGAAGTATACTTATGATGAATCCACTGCCTAATATGGCTCAGGCCTTTTCTCTACTAGTTCAAGATGAACACCAAAGGGAAATTAAAGCTTCTGGTTTTTCTAATGCAGAATCTACTGCTTTATATGCTGGAAATACTAGGCCTTCTTCATCAGCTGGGAACATCAGACCTCATTCATCAGC